TTTATTGCATTGCAATTTGAATCCCAGTACTGATTTGTATCCAAAGCAGCACTAAGTAACTATTCCCCATCAGTGCAAGGATTTCCACTTGTGCAATGGGACTCCCCCCCCGACCCTGCACATTCCTTGCCCTCCCCAAATCTGCTCTAGAGGATTGGGGAAACCCCCTAGAACAGTTTAGGGGGTGCATGGGGGAAGGAGACAGGGGAGAGTCCTGTTGCACAAACATAAATCCTTGCATTAATGAGATGGTAACTCAGTACAGTCATACCTTGGGTTAAATATGTTTCAGGTTGAGTGTTTTCAGGTTACGCTCTGCAGTGACCCTGAAGTAATGGAATGCATTACTTCTGGGTTTCACCGCTCGCACATGCGCAGCGGCTCAAAATGACATCACCCGCACGTGCAGAAGCGGCAAATCACGACCCGCGCACGCGTAGACGCGGGTTGCGTTCTACTCAGGATGCGAACGGGGCTCCGGAACAGATCCTGTTCGCATCCAGAGGTACCACTGTACATCCTGTTCTCATAGTGGCAAACCACATGCCTGCAGGAGACCCACAAGCAGGACTCAACTGCCAGACCATAAGAACCTAAGAAGAACCTGGTGGATCGGGTCAACGGGTCAACTAGTCCAGCATTCTGTTCTCACAGTGGCCAACCAGAAGCCCCAGGGGGAATCCCACTAACAGGACCTGAGCACACCAGCACTCTCCACTCCCGCACTTTCCAGCAACTGGTATTCAGACCTTCTCAATTTCTAGTGCCAAGGGTGGGTATCACAAATTTCTTGGGCTGGCTTCCAGTACTAGGGCTAGGCTGAGAAACGCCTTTGATCTAGGCATCCAGATTGGCCACATGGGTGTGATGGCCTGGGAATCCGATTCAGAGGATGAACCAGAGGAATCCCAGCCTGCACAGGAGCCCCTGCCTCCAGGGCCGGCTGAACTGGGGCAGGGCCTTGATTCTGAGGCGCCTGCACCTGTGCCGGATCCTCAGGAGCAGGCACCAGGTGAACCCATTCTGGCTCCAGAGGTAGTTGAGGACTCAGTGCCTACAGGTGAGCTTCCCCCTGGGCCCAGTAACCCTTCAGCCTCTCCTGAACTGCAGAGGCTCAGGGCAGAGAGGCGAAGGGAACTGGTTTCTCCCAGGAGGAGTGCTCGTCTTAAGGCCAGGAGAGGCGGGTCTCCTGGGGGCCGGGACCGCCCCTGGCCTCAGAGGCCAGTCAGCCCGGTCCCAGGTTGCGGGAGCAATGTCGTCATTGTAGAGCTGTTTCGGCCAGCATCCAGTCCTGTTCCTCCAGTGTTCCTGTCCTTGCCCGGCTCCTCGCTGTGGACCCCGCTTTGCCCGTGGAGGACTGTCTGCCGACCCTCGACTCAGGTCCTGGACCTCGCCCCACGGTAACCTCCCCCCAGGACCAGCACAATGACTAACCCACAAATCCCTCTGAAGATTCACCATAGATGAGACATGCTTTCTGTCCTTTTGAACAAAGGCCTTTGGATTTCCTGGCTTTACACATGCTCTTTGCTTCCGATGCCACAAGAGAGCACTCTAGATACATCTGTGCCTTCCAGAGAGAGGCTTCATTCTGCAGAAGGCAACCTCGTGTTTTCCTGGAAAACAAAATTCCAAAAGACCAGAGGGAACGCTTGAGAAGAGCCCTTCCCCAACCTGGTGCCCTCCAGATGTTATGGACTACAGCTTCCATCAGTCCCAGCCAGCATGGAGTTGTAAATCAAAAATATCTAGAAGGCAGCAAGCTGAGAAAGGCTGCTCTGGAAAGACAGTACTATTCGTGTGAAATAAACCCACACTTCCCAATCAACTCCGCAATATGGAGGACTAAACACAGGAAGGAGCCTCACACAGAGTCATTGGTCCATCTGTAGCTCAGTACTGTCTACAGTGACTGACAGTGGCTCTCCAGGATTTACATTCAGCCTTACCTGGAGATATGGGAGATTGAACTTGGGAAGGCATTAATGTTTAATGTTTTACTATGTTTTTATATGATGTATGGAAGTGAGAGCTGGACCATAAAGAAGTCTGATTGCTGAAGAATTGATGCTTTTGAATTATGGTGCTGGAGGAGACTCTTGAGAGTCCCATGGACTGCAAGAAGACCAAACCTCTCCATTCTGAAGGAAATCAGCCCTGAGTGCTCATTGGAAGGACAGATCCTGAAGTTGAGGCTCCAATACTTTGGCCACCTTATGAGAAGAGAGGACTCCCTGGAAAAGACCCTGATGTTGGGAAAGATGGAGGGCACAAGGAGAAGGGGACGACAGAGGACGTGATGGTTGGACAGTGTTCTCGAAGCTACCAGCATGAGTTTGACCAAACTGCGGGAGGCAGTGGAGGACAGGAGTGCCTGGCATGCTCTGGTCCATGGGGTCACGAAGAGTTGGACACGACTAAACGACTAAACAACAACTACAATGTTTTTATATATGTATGATGATGATGATGATGATGATGATGATGATGATGATGATGCATGAAGGCAGATGCTCTAACTTATGGCACCTCCTTTTTTATTTCATTAAAAAATGAGGTGTGTGGGTGGATGCATTTGTGGTAAACCGAGGGACTTCCTGAAGGTAAGAGCTGATTGACTACCTTGGAAGGTGGTGGATCACCTTCATTTGAGGCTTTTAAGCCATGGTTGGATGGCCATCTTTCCAGGAGTCTTCAGCTGCAATTCCTGCATTGCAGGGGGTTGGACTAGATGTCACCCTTGAGATCCCTTCTAACTCTACAGATCTATGAAATTACATACTGGAATTTCAGATGCACTGAAAAAAGGAACAGCAGCAATTGCTGTATAATTCAGCAATTGCCAGACTTACAACTGCCATTTCTTGGAGATGATTCAAGATGAGCCAGCCAGGCTGCTTTGCCTTGACTCAGCAATTCATGACTCCTCCCTTGGCTTGGGTACAGCACTACTACCTCAGAAACATGCTTTGCAGCTTTTGTTTATAGTGTTTGCCCCCCTGAGATGAGCCAAAACTCCCCCTTTCAATGACTGTTAAGCATTCCTTGTAAAAATATTTGTTTCCTGACTCACAATGCACTTGCCCGCCCTCTGGGAGCTCATTGCACAGCAAATTATGACTGTGCCAGCACTCCATCACAGCATGGACCTTTCGTGGGTGTTATTGAGGGATGGACCCACCCACCTCAGAGTCATAGGCATTTATTCATGAGTGTATTTTATAGATACCTAAGTATGCATTTTACCATGTGTATCTCAGTGTATGCCTTTATAAACATCTATTAACCTAAAACACACATTTCAAAGCATTTTGGTATCACAAAAATCTATATTGCAAAATCTGAAGGATAATTATGCTGCAATCTGTGTCTGGGAGGTGCAAATTGTGTGCCTAAAAATAGGGACCAAATGAAATTCTTCTCCATGCCTCCTCTAAGAAGGAGGAAGAAGTAGAAGTAAAATAAGTAAAATAAAAAAGGTGCCAAAGCAGCACTCAGGACCAGGGAGAAGTAATGGAACAAAACATGATTGGCAGTGAGCAAGTGGATGTTTGGACAACTGAAATGTTAAGTTTCTACTTTGCTAAAACAAATAGTTCTCACCCTCCAAGAAGCACCCTCCTCACTTCAAGAAGCAACAGCACCTCACACTGAAATCCTCTGTGCAGTAGTCCTAAAATACTTTTCCTCTGTGCACTTCATACCACAGACCCAAAGCTCTGAAGAACAGTGTTTGGTCTGGGTGAATGAGGAGCGGTAGTCCACAGTATTTGTCTAAGACAAAACATCTGAAACACGCTAAGGTCATTTCAGGACACCAAAACCCCAGAGATCACAGACAGTAGGCTGGAGCAATTGCTCATGCAGCTGGGAGGAAGAAGCAGCTGTTGAGAGGTAGGGAAGACTTGGAGCAATAAAACACCCTTATTCTCCTGCTTGAAGAGGCATGAAGTGGTTAAATGTATCTTCTGCTCAGAAAGAGAAGCTGGAAGCTGCAGGAGGGGAGAATGCTCTTGAGATCGAATCCTGCTTGTGGGTTTCCCACAGCCATCTGGTTGGCCATTGTGAGAACAGGATGCTGGGCAGGATGGGTCACTGGCCTGATCCAGCAGGCTCTTTTTATGTTCATATATGTGGAACACACACTTCCAAGGGGTTAGTGCGACCATATAAAGCCCTAAATGGCTTGCAGCCCAAATCCCTAAAAGAGCATCTTCCCCAATACCAACCGTCTCAAACCCTGCAATCAGCAGGTGAGCCCTTGGTGGTGGTGCTTCCATAGGGGATTCCCTGGTTGGTGCTGACCCATGACAGGGCCTTTTCAGTGGTGGCTCCCCAGTTGTGGAATGCCTTCCCCTAGGGAGGTGTGCCTGTCTCCATCATGATTAACTTTCAAGAGGAATTCAAAAACATTCCTGCTTACCCACACATTTGGTGGTGGCTGAAGAAGACTGATCCTGGCAACCTCGAGGTCAATGGGTGGAAGAATGTTTCTAATTCTGCTTTTAAATTGTACATCTGTTTGCTGCCCCGACCTCTTGGGGAGGAAGGGCACGCTATAAACTCAACGATTATTATTAATAAAAGGTAAAGGTAAAGGACTCTTGGATGGTTAATTCCAGTTGAATTTGACTATGGGGTGCAACACTCATCTCTGCTTTCAGGTCAAGGGAGCCAGCGTTTGTCCACAGACAGCTTTCCGTGTCATGTGGCCAGCATGACTAAACCACTTTTGGTGCAACAGGACACTGTGATGAGTGCCAAAGCGCATGGAAACACAGTTTACCTGCCGCCACAGCAGTACCTATTTATCTACTCACGCTGGTGTGCTTTCAAACTGCAATGTTGCAGGAGCTGGGACAGAGCAACGGGAGCTCACCCCGTCACGTGGATTCGAAGTGCTGAAAGCTCTTTGGAAGGCAAGGAGGGAGGCAAGACGTTTTTGCTCCTGAACTTTCCCTCAAGGAAACACAAAGCATATCGCCCACTCCCCGACTCACCTACGACGGTGAGGACCTCGTTTTCAATTTCTGCCGTGATGTGTATCCTGCCCCGGCGCTCAGTGTGGTCCGTGCCACAGAGACTTGGTACGTTCATCACACAGCGTTTGTGGACGTTCATCATGCAGGCTGGTGGAGAGAGAATCGGAAGGAGAGATTTCAGGTCCCAGAACGGGGTTCAAGACATTGTGCTTTGCCTGCCATCAGGATATCATGCATTCCACCTCCTTTAATGGGACACCACATAGGTTTCTGCTGCTGTTTATTTCTGAACATGTACTAGATTCTCCCCTGCCTTCCGCCTGAAAAATTATATTTATTTCTTTGTTCTTTGGTTGCATTAATATCCCACTTTTTTCTCCAAGGAGCTAAAGGTAGCACACCTGGCTCTCCCCCTCTTCATTTAGTCCCCACAAGAAACCTGTGAGGTAGGTTGGTAGACAGAGACTGGCCCAGGGTTACCCAGTGAGCCTCATGGCCAAGTGGGGATTTGAATCCTGTTCTCCCCCAGGCCCTAGTCTGACTATCTAAAAACCCCTACATGCCATTGGACACCTAGAGGATTGTGGGCTTGAGACCTGATGAGTTCCTATCCCGCCTCATTTTCATCCATCAATTCCTCTAAGATCTCTCATTCCACCATCTCCATTTCAGTGGCCCCAGAGAGCTACTCTGCAGTATTATTATCATTAAGTAGATTCATTAGCCGCCATTTTTTGCCATCGCAACTCTAAGCGACTTACAAAATAACTTACCCAAAACAGAAACATGCAAACATTAAAACCAGGAGGTAGAATGCATTAAAGCATCCCACCCACTCTAAAAAGCCACGGGTAGTTAAAAAGGTGGGATATAAATTCAATAAACAAACCATTTAAGAGGATGGTTGTAATTTACACAGTGACCATTAGAGGTCTTCCTATGCCCGATCCATGTGATCCCCCCCCAACAGCAATTTCATCCTGAGAGGGAACAGCATTTCTTCCACCCCCATGAGAGCCTTCCACCCCCCTCTGAAAAGTCCAGCTCTTACTTTGTACGAAAAAGTCACTTTTTTTGAGCGTTCCTTGTTGCAGAGTGAAAGCTCAAAGGGCAACTCAGATGAATCTGGGAAGGGCAAACCAGGGCAATAGATTCTGCTGTTCTTTCTGCTTATTCTTATTTATTTATTTATTGCTTGCATTTATACTCCACCTTCCCCCCCCCCATGGTGTCCATGGTTCTCCCCATCTCATTTAATCCCCACAACAACCTTGCAAGGTAGGCTAGTGAGGCAGTGACTGGCCCAAGGTCACACCCAGTGAGCTTCATGGGCTGAGTAGGGATTTGAACCCTGGTCTTCCAGGTCCTAGTCTGGCACTCTAACCATGACACCACACTGGCTCTGTAGCTGGATCTCCTGTATGCTACATTTCTTGTACCCCAATTGTATTGTTGGAGAGGCAGCACTGGAACCCTTCCTTCCCTATTCCCTCCCTGTAACTGAGGCAGGGCAGGACCCCTGAAGGTCCTTTGCAATTCTACAGTTCTATGATTCTATGAATCCTGGATCTCCTTGTTCCTCAGATGTTCAATTATCCTTAATTTCAGCTGGCCACCATCACTGATGTGAGCTTCCCATCACCTCTGCCTGAATTGCTGCATCCCTTTTTAATTCTCCTTCCTTCCTTCCTTCCTTCCTTCCTTCCTTCCTTCCTTCCTTCCTTCCTTCCTTCCTTCCGTACTCCTCCCTCCCTCCTTCAGTTGTCTCCTCCACTCTTGAATTCTGAATTGCAAGGGGCTCAAGACAAGGACATGTCTCCTTCGCTTGTGTTTTCTTCTGTGTCCTTGGATGGTGCTATACAAACAAACACCAGCAACCATGAGGCTGCAACATCTTCACAGCTGCCTGTTCCACTTCTTGCAACTGAGGCTTCACTCAGATTTCCTTTTCTTGTAAACACAGCAAAGCCTCCGCTAGTGGATTTGACCACACCAGCTCTGCACAAACAAGGAGACTTATGGCCTTAATCAAAGGGTGTGGTAGCATTGAAAAGAAAAGGTCATACGAGATTTATTGATTCAGCAGTGGAGGAGGGTAGCAGCTGCGTCCTGGGGAGAAAGCAAGCAGACCGGCTCCTGCTTCTGTCACTGTCTGGGGGAAGCGAGAGGTAGCAGGAAGGCCATAGCCTAGTGGTTAGAGCATGGGTAGGCAAACTAAGACTCGGGGGCCGGATCTGGCCCAATCGCCTTCTAAATCCAGCCTGCGGATGGTCCAGGAATCACCATGTTTTTACATGAGTAGAATGTGTCCTTTTATTTAAAATGCATCTGGGTTATTTGTGGGGCATAGGAATTCATTCATATTTTTTTCCAAAATATAGTCCAGCCCCCCACAAGGTCTGAGGGACAGTGGACCAGCCCCCTGCTGAAAAAGTTTGCTGACCCCTGGGTTAGAGCATCTGCTTTGCATTCAGAAGGTCCCAGGTTCAAAATGGTTTAAAATTCTGGAGGGTCACTGCTGGGAGATGTACAGAGCCAGTAGCCAAAGTAGTGCCTGCAGATGCTGTTGAAGACAACTCCCACCATCCCGGTCTGCAGGGCATGCTGGAGGGGTCTGATGGGAGTTGTAGTCCATAACATCTAGAAGGTGCCTCGTTGGCATGCTAAGCTAGATGGGCCAATGGTCCTGACTCCGTAAAAGGCATAGCAACCTAGCTCAGTATTGTCTACACTGAATGGCAGCAGTCGCTCCAGGGTTTCAGGTGGGAGCTCTTGCAGCCCTACCTAGAGATACCATTGGGGATTAAACCTGGGACCTTCTGCATGCACAGCAGATGCTCTCCCACTGAGCTACAGCTTCTCTTTTAAAAATAAAGCAAGATTCCAGTCCTCATGGTTCAGAATTATGGGCTGATTTGAATACGACACCAAAATCTGCCATATGCAGAGCCAGACTTTAGTCCATCTAGCTCAATATTGTTCACACTGGCTAGCAGTGACTCTCCAAGGTTTCAGACAGGGCTCTCTCCCTTTCTGGACTGGAGATATCATTGGGGACTGAACCTTATGGGGCTCCCCAATGGCTCAAGAGTGCCTCTCCCAACATGGACCCTGTGTTCTTCATCGGAGGCCCTTCTTTGTGTGCTGAGGGTGGCAACATGAGAAAAAGCCTTTTCAGTAGTGGCCCCTCATTTATGGGATGCTCTCCGTCCTGCCATGGAGGCATGCCTGGCAGCATCACTGGCTGTTTTTAGGTGCCAGGCAAAACCAGTCTTTTCACCCTGGCCTTTGGATCTTAATTTTAGGAACATATGAAACTGCCTTATACCAAACCAGACCATTGGGCCTTCAAGTTCAGCACTGTCCAAACCAGGGGTTGTCAACCTGATCCCTACCACCCACTAGTGGGTGTTTCAGGATTCTAGGTGGGTGGTAGGGGGTTCTATGGCACAAGCTGAATCCTTCTTCCATAGAGCACTGGTGGGAGGTAAGGAAATTTTACCATCAAGAACCGCATTAGTGGGCGGTAGGTATACAAAGGTTGACTACCCCTGGTCTACACGGACTGGCAGCAGCTCTCCAGCATTTCAGACTGGGTTCCCTACCAGCCCTACCTGGAGATGCTGGGGATTGAACCTGGGACCTTCTGCATGCAAAGCAGATGCTCTAACCACTAGGCTACAACCCTTCCCCAACTGAATTTTAGTGGTGTGGTCTGGAGGGTTGGGTTGGTATATATATATTTATTTGTGTATTTTAGGCAGTTTTATCCTGTCTTTATACTCATTTTTAAATGTTCATTTTTTTTTGTAAATCGCTTCAAGTTTCTTTTTTGGGGAAAAGCAACGCATCAACAGCCAGTGGTTTGCTTCACTAGGATGATAAAACTAGCCAAGTCTAGCACCGGGTGCATTAAATCCCCACTCACCCCACCCAAGCAACACAGTTAATCCACAATACTCCGGAGTGATAAAGTGGGATCATAAGGACTTTGCTGCATCCACAAAGAAAATTGTGAATCAGACTCCAGATGCTGTGATTGGGTCATATATCTCTCAGTGCAACTGGACTTACTGTCACATTTCATCCCCTGGTGGATGAGTCCATACAACAAGGATCCACAGTGGTCGCAGAAGGTGGGGCTGGAGTACGTGTGGATTTTGAACTTGTGTTTGCTCCGTGGGTCCTGGAGAAAAGAGACAAGACAGTAGAAAGGAACAATTGGTTAAGTGCTGAGCTTTGCCTATAAATGCAAGTCACTGATGTGCATCAAGAGCATTACATATATATGTGTCAGGGGCTGGACTGAGGAGGAATGGTGGGGGCCGCCCCACCCCTTCTCCTGAACCTTCCTGAGAACAGGAGGACAGTATAGATTTAGAACAGTGGTTTGCAGAAGGTCATGGTTCAGAGGCTGCAGAGGGGAGAAGCTGAGAAATATAGAAAGAGGAACAGTGGGAAGAAGAAGCACCAGGGGAGAGACAGCTGACAGACTCAGTGTCCTGGAAAGCATTCCTGGACCCCCCACCTCTCCCAGGACCAGGCGAGCATTGAAAGTAGTAGAACATAAAGCTCAGAGGCAGAAAGCTCAGATTAGCCGATGCAGGTGTGGCGTAGAATAGGAGAGATGGGGGGTGTTACTTGGATTAATGCTATTATCCCCCCCAAAAAAGTTCAACAACTTTGGCTTCACCCCTTGCCCCCCCCTTCATTGGTAGATCACTTCCAGAATTTTTATAGTGGGAGTAGATTGCAGTCTCTTGGGAATTGGACGTGCCTGATCTAGGGGATACTGCACTCCTTCGTCTCTCTGAATATTAAATAAATTGAATAAATTGCTGAATATTGAATAAATTGCCATATTTTTCTGTGTATAAGACGCCCCCTATTTTTGGGACTCAAAATTAAGAAAATGCACTATGCACTATCCATGTATAAGACAACCCCTTATTTTAAACTTCAAAAATTTAGGGGAAAATATAGTCTTATACACGAAAAAATGCAGTACTTGGTGAGAACTTTTATCATTTCTCTGCTTCTTGGCTGCCACTGTGGAGGGATCTGATTCCCCGAAGCCTGACAATATACCCCCTCAACGGTTTCCATCTGTGGAACTGGCACTGCTGAAAGTGCCACATGAAATCTGTTCTGCACCTACCCTTTGGAACTCCCTGCCTGTTGACACCAGGCAGGTGCCTTCGCTGCCCACATTTTTGTTTAGACAAGACTGCCTAGATATTTAGATGGCTGATACCTTTTCAGTCTATTGTTGGTTTTACTAATCATCTTACTGTGCTATTCTTTTGTAAACTGCTTTGAGGTTTCCTGCAGTCAAGTGGTATATACATTTTATGAAATAAATAAAGCCTAGTCTATCTTCCATAATGTGAGGCACATTTTTGCAGATGCCACAATTTTTTTCAGGAGCTTGGGGTTATTTTATTATCCCTCCACTCCCTCACAATCACCCTGTGAGGTAGGCTAAATTGATTACAGAGCAAAATGATCAAGGCCACCAAGAGATGCTTTAGCGGGGGATCTGAATTCAGAACCATGCCCAATATTTACTTCCAAACAAACAAGGAGGAACATCACAGCCCATCAGCAACTTTGTCAGCACATCAAAGACAGCCCCAATGAATGAACGGTGCCAAATCAATGCACAGACCTCTGCAATATATCCTCCGCCCCTTTTTGTTTTTTTACAAATGGAAAACTGAGGCTAAGAGGCAATATGGCATCCCGCAGCTGCACAACACCAGGCAAGAGCTCCAGGCAATAAAACCCAAATCCAGACCTGGAGGAGATCTTCTAAAATGCCTTTTCATAGAATCATAGAACTATAGTGTTGGGAGGAATGCCAAGGCTGATCTAAATGGCCTCAATCCTGAATACCTGAAGGAGCGTCTCCACCCCCATCGTTCAGCCCGGACCCTGATGTCCAGTGCCGAGGGCCTTCTGGTGGTTCCCTCGCTGCGGGAAGTGAGGTTACAGGGAACCAGGCAGAGGGCCTTCTCAGTAGTGGCTCCTGCCCTGTGGAAAGCCCTCCCAGCAGATGTCAAGGCAATAAACAACTATTTTACTCTTAAAAGACAACTGAAGACAGCCCTGTTTAGGGAAGTTTTTAATGTCTGACACTGTATTGTTTTTAATATTCGGTTGGAAGCCGCCCAGAGTGGCTGGGGAAACCCAGCCAAATGGGCGGGGTATAAATAAGGTAAAGGTAAAGGTACCCCTGCCCGTACGGGCCAGTCTTGCCAGACTCTAGGGTTGTGTGCTCATCTCACTCTATAGGCCGGGAGCCAGCGCTGTCCGCAGACACTTCCGGGTCATGTGGCCAGCGTGACAAGCTGCATCTGGCGAGAAAGCACAGCACACGGAAACGCCGTTTACCTTCCCGCTGGTAAGCGGTCCCTATTTATCTACTTGCACCCGGGGGTGCTTTCGAACTGCTAGGTTGGCAGGCGCTGGGACCGAGCAGCGGGAGCGCACCCCGCCGCGGGGATTCGAACCGCCGACCATGTGATCGGCAAGTACTAGGCACTGAGGTTTTACCCACAGCGCCACCCGCGTCTCGGGGTATAAATAAATTATTATTATTATTTATTTATTAGTCCAACCCCCGACAATGCAGGAATCACTGCTAGCACCGCCCCCCCCCCATTGCTCTCCAAATGTGTCAGACCACAACAGAGCTCTCATAACTACAATTTCCAGACTTCCTTGCAAAGAGAGATTGATTATTAAACCACTCTGTGAACTGAAGCTCTGGGAGGGAACTAGGGGTCTCCTAACAAGCACCCTTTACAAACTACAGCTCCCAGAGTCCTTTGGGGGAAACCACAACTGTGTATAGTGGTATTTTAGTGCTTTAAATGTCTGGTGTGAAGCTGGGCTCCATTAACTCATTTTTCTACAGGATGGCACCCCATCAGCCCTGGCTGCTGTGGTCAGATGCTGCTGTGAATTGTGGTCCAAAACATCTGGAAGGCAACAGGCTGGTGACAGATGCCTCAGGCAATGGGCTTCCGTGTGTGTGTGTGTGTGTGTGTGTGTGCGCGCGCGTGCGTCCATTCAAATTCCCATCTAGCGGACCATTTGGGCTGGCTGCCCAGCCAGGAAGCTCATATTGGAATAGCCGCTATCTCTCAACCAAACTGAACATACAAAGTTGTTTTGAGGATAAAATGCAGGGCAGGCAGGGGGAATTAGCAAACCTTGCAGACATCCCTGAGGCTCCTTGAAAGGAGGACAGGATACAAATTCAACAACAATAATAAAGACTTCATGAAAAAAGTGAGAACGGAGGAGGGATGTGAAGCAAGGCACCAATAATAATAATAATAATAATAATAATAATAATAATAATAATAATAAAATAAATTTTTATTTATACCCCGCCCTCCCTGGCTAGAGCTGGGCTCAGGGCGGCTAACACCAGTAAAATTACAATAAAAACTTCATAGGGGAGGGGGGGAAACAATTTAAAATACAGGTTAAAAATACAATTTAAAATGCAGCCTCATTTTAATAATAGCCCACAGATCAAAACCATAATGGGAGGGAAACATAAGGGTCAGAGTGAGTCCAAACCAAAGGCCAGGCGGAACAGCTCTGTCTTCCCTGCGGAAAGATGTCAAGTCCTAAACTAAGAAGAGAAGGACACAAGAAGATCAGGCCAATCACCCATCCTAGTCCAGCATCCTGTTCTCACATTGGCCACCCAAATGCCTGTGGGAAGCCAGCAAGCGGGACCCGAGCACAGGAGCCCTCTCCCCTCCTGTGGTTTCCAGTAACTGGTATTCAGGAGCATTACTGCCTCTGATTGTGAAGGCAGAGCAGAGCCATCTTAGCTAGTAGCCCTCAATGGCCTTCTCTAATCGCCCTTTAAAGCCATCTGGGTTGGTAAGCAATGCTGCTCTTGTGGCAGTGAGTTCCATAGTTTAACTCTGCACTGTGTGAATGAGGACTTATCTCTCCCAAATCTTCCAACATTCCGCTTCATTAGAGGTCCATGAGTTGAACGGAGTCCACTCAGCCGGGTCCTCCTTGCTTTTCAACCTCTTTCTTCTCCTGCATTAATCAGTATAATGCACTGCGCTCTCTCCCCGCTAACGAGCGACATTAGGGAGATGGGGACTAATGGAACTTCACTTAATTCAACCTGCTTAAGTGCAGCGTATTGGGCACGGGCAGCGATGAAAGTTAATTGCATCGGAAAACTCAGAGGCTTCACCCCAAAGCAAACCTCTTTCAGATTCATAAATGCTCGGAAGATGCTCCTTTTAACGACTGAGCTAGCAGCTGGGTAATGAAACGCCTGAGAAAATGGGGGTTAACAACAATTAACCTGTCTTCAGCAAACCTTCAGATACAAAAAGCGCATTCATTAAGTCAGAACATACTTAGAGAAATCTCCGCTTCTAAGGGAGATAGTATTCTTTTTTAAGGCAAGTGATGTGCTTATACTCGAACCTGAGTTTGGTGGAAAGGCCGTAGATCAATACTTGGGGGAACCACTGATGTAGCCTTCCATAGCCTAGAATCAGATAATCATAGAAATATAGAGTTGGAAGGGACACAAAGAACCGTCTAGTCCAACCCCCTGCAATGAAGGAATAGCAGAAAGAAAGGAGATTCTGAAGAAACCTTAGGAAGAACTTTCTGATGGCAAGAGGTGTTTGACAGTGGAATGGACTCCCTTTCAAGATGGTGGGCTCTCCTTCACTGGAGGTTTTCAAGCAGAGATTGAATGGCCACCTGCCAGAGATTCTCAAGCTGAGATTCCTGCATTGCAGGGGGATGGACTAGAGGACCCTTGGGGTCCCTTCCAATTCTACTATTCTATGGCACCTCACAGAAGAAGCAAAAGGCCTGCAGCTACTGCTTCTGTGTACTGCTTCCCTGCATTTCCCACTGCCCAGGTAGGATTGGGAGTGGGCAGGTGTGGGGATAGAACCTTCCCCCACCCGCCTCAGTAGGGGAAAGTACAGTGGTACCTTGGGTTACAGACACTTCAGGTTACAGACGCTTCAGGTTACAGACTCCGCTAACCCAGAAATAGCACCTCGGGTTAAGAACTTTGCTTCAGGATGAGAACAGAAATCATGCAGCGAAAGCAGGAGGCACCATTAGCTAAAGTGGTGCTTTAGGTTAAGAACAGTTTCAGGTTAAGAACGGGCCTCC